TCCCGCCCGTCCTGACGCTCAGGCCCGTGGGTTTCCAGCAATCACGGCCAGGTGGCTCAAGGAGGCCCCCGGGAGGCCTCCAAGAGGCCCCCAGGAGGCTCCCAGGAGGCCTAAAGAATGACCCAGGAAGCTCCCAAGAGGTCTCCTCATCCTTCTCCCTCATCCTCTTCCTCCCCCACGTGTTCCCAGAAGAGCTTCCACAACGGCTGGGGGAACGCATGGTCCAATAGCGTGGCCAAACTTTGCCCGAACGTTTGGCCACATAGCCGTATCCTGAAAGGCAGGGGGCGGCGGTGATTCGCCGTAGGCAACCTAGATATACTGGATGTACATACATATACGAGAACAAAAAAGAAAACCCCAAAACAGATAGGGAAACAAACTCTATACACCAGCGCTTTTTCCGGCCCAGCCCGCCACTAGTAATGTATATGCTTCAGCTTCCTAAAGGAGAGAGAGAGAGAGACCAAAAGAGAAAGAGAGAGAGAGAGAGAGAATTAGCCTGGCGAAGGACCCAACCATATGCAGTTGTGAATACCGCGATTGTGGATCTCCCTATGGGGCCACAAAACGTGTGAGGGGTGTGCCAGAATGGGGCGGCGGCGCCATGCGAGTTTCGCCACGGGGACCTTCGGTGGAGCTCCCTATGGGGCCACGACGCGTGTGAGGGGTGTGCCAAAATGGGGCGGCGGCGCCATGCGAGTTCCGCCACTGGGACCTTAGGTGGAGCTCCCTATGGGGCCACGAAACGTGTGAGGGGTGTGCCAAAATGGGGCGGCGGCGCCATGCGAGTTTCCCGCCACGAAGCGTGGAGGGGTGTGCCAAAATGGGGCGGCGGCCATGCGAGTTCCGCCACTGGGACCTTAGGTGGAGCTCCCTATGGGGCCACGAAACGTGTGAGGGGTGTGCCAAAATGGGGCGGCGGCGCCATGCGAGTTCCGCCACTGGGACCTTAGGTGGAGCTCCCTATGGGGCCACGAAACGTGTGAGGGGTGTGCCAAAATGGGGCGGCGGCGCCATGCGAGTTCCGCCACTGGGACCTTAGGTGGAGCTCCCTATGGGGCCACGAAACGTGTGAGGGGTGTGCCAAAATGGGGCGGCGGCGCCATGCGAGTTTCGCAACTGGGACCTTAGGTGGAGCTCCCTATGGGGCCACGAAACGTGTGAGGGGTGTGCCAAAATGGGGCGGCGGCGCCATGCGAGTTCCGCCACCGGGACCTTAGGTGGAGCTCCCTATGGGGCCACGAAACGTGTGAGGGGTGTGCCAACATGGGGCGGCGGCGCCATGCGAGTTCCGCCACTGGGACCTTAGGTGGAGCTCCATATGGGGCCACGAAACGTGTGAGGGGTATGCCAAAATAGGGCGGCGGCGCCATGCGAGTTCCGCCACCGGGACCTCAGGTGGAGCTCCTTATGGGTTCACGAAGCGTTTGAGGGGTGTGCCAAAATGGGGCGGCGGCGCCATGCGAGTTCCGCCACTGGGACCTTAGGTGGAGCTCCCTATGGGGCCACGAAACGTGTGAGGGGTGTGCCGAAACAGAGACATGCGGAGAGCAAAAGCCAGGATGGGGGAGGAGGGGGGAGGAGGAGAAGAGGAGAGGAGGACGCGGGGCACCGTCTCTTCAAAACGATGGCCCAACACCACAGGATGGTTGGGGAAAAAATTAGCCTGGCGAAGGACCCAACCATATGCAGTTGTGAATGCCGCGATTGTGGATCTCCCTATGGGGCCACAAAACGTGTGAGGGGTGTGCCAAAATGGGGCGGCGGCGCCATGCGAGTTCCGCCACTGGGACCTTAGGTTGAGCTCCCTATGGGGCCACAAAACGTGTGAGGGGTGTGCCAAAATGGGGCGGCGGCGCCATGCGAGTTCCGCCACTGGGACCTTCGGTGGAGCTCCCTATGGGGCCACGAAACGTGTGAGGGGTGTGCCAAAAATGGGGCGGCGGCGCCATGCGAGTTCCGCCACGGGGACCTTCGGTGGAGCTCCCTATGGGGCCACGAAGCGTGTGAGGGGTGTGCCAAAATGGGGCGGCGGCGCCATGCGAGTTCCGCCACTGGGACCTTAGGTGGAGCTCCCTGTGGGGCCACGAAACGTGTGAGGGGTGTGCCAAAATGGGGCGGCGGCGCCGTGCGAGTTCCGCCACTGGGACCTTAGGTGGAGCTCCCTATGGTGCCACGAAACGTGTGAGGGTGTGCAAAATGGGGCGGCGGCGCCTGCGAGTTCCGCCACTGGGTCGGTGGAACTCCCTATGGGCCACGAAGGGTGTGAGGGGTGTGCCAAAATGTGGCGGCGGCGCCATGCGAGTTTCGCAAGTGGGACCTTAGGTGGAGCTCCCTATGGGGCCACGAAGCGTGTGAGGGGTGTGCCAAAATGGGGCGGCGGCGCCATGCGAGTTTCGCAACTGGGACCTGGGGTGGTGGAGCTCCCTATGGGGCCACGAAACGTGTGAGGGGTGTGCCAAATGGGGCGGCGGCGCCATGCGAGTTCCGCCACTGGGACCTTAGGTGGAGCTCCCTATGGGGCCACGAAACGTGTGAGGGGTGTGCCAAAACGGGGCGGCGGCGCCATGCGAGTTCCGCCACTGGGACCTTAGGTGGAGCTCCCTATGGGGCCACGAAACGTGTGAGGGGTGTGCCGAAACAGAGACATGCGGATAGCAAAAGCCAGGATGGGGGAGGAGGGGGGAGGAGGAGGAGAGGAGAGGAGGACGCGGGGCACCGTCTCTTCAAAACGAGGACCCAACACCACAGGATGGTCGGGAAAAAAGGAGAAAGAGAGAGAGAGAGAGAGAAAAAGAGATGGTGTGTCTTTAGTTTCTGAAGAATTTGGGCGTCTTCACATTTTCGGGCTTCCTTCAGCTCCAGACGGCCTCCAAGATGGCCCCAAGACCATCCAAGAGGGTGCTAAAATTGCAAAATGATCTACAACTATAGCCGCAGGACGTCCCAAGAGGGCCCGTGATTAGACGGCCCAGGACGGCCCCAAGAGAGCCCCGAGCTGGCCCAAGAGAGCCTCTGGAGGGACCCAAGACGGCCTTCGAGAGCCCATCAACGGCCCAAGACGGCCCTAACCCTAAAACGCTTCCACTACGGCCGTAACACAATCAACACGCACAAGCGCCACCAGGATAGAGATGGCTCGTTCCCCTGATCGATCGAAAATGATGAACGTTACCTTCGTGCAGAGCCCGGGGTGACGCAGAACATCGCAGCAATGACTGCTACCCCCGCTGGGCGAGCCGAACAGCGACTTGCTGTCAGCCGCCCTTGGGAGTGACACTGGACAGAGCGAAGCTGACAGTCCGGACGCCCTCAGTGAGGAAGAACAGCGCGCATCTGACTGCCGACGCCCCCAGAAGTCCCGTCTGTGGCCTGTCCTCCAACGCGCGAAAGAATCGGAAGGAACAAGGCGGGAACTTCCCCACGACGCCGGCATGTGTCTCGGGGCCCGAATCGAGCAAGCGCCGAGCCTGCAACAGAGAAGGGAACATCATCAGGCTGAACTGTGCGGGCGAAGAGGTCTGCGCAAAGCGGGAACGGTTGGGCCGACCAGCGCAGGGCTGCCAGAAGGGCGCAGCATGCTGAAGGGGGAATGGCGCGCGGCTAGCCCACAGCAACTGCGCAGCGCGCGGCTGACCCACCGCCACTGCGCGCATGGCGTGCATGCCCCAACTGACCCAAAAGACCTTGCAGATGGCCAAGAGGGCTCCGAGACAGCCCCAAAAAAGCCCCAAAGCGGCCCAATAAGGAAGGAAGACCGTCCAATGTGGCCAAAGGGGCCCCCAAGACTGCCCCACAGAAGCCCAAGTGAGCTCCACAAGAGCTCCTCGAGAAGTGAAGACAACAGGCGGCGCATGTGACGGATGTCCTATTCCTTCTCCTCCTCCTCCTCCTCCCCCTCCTCCTCCTCCTCATGATCACGAACATTACCACAACCACCACGCCGTCATCATCAGCATCAGCATCAGCATCAGACACATCACCACCACCGCCATCTCCTCCTCCTCATGATCACGAACATTACCACAACCACCACGCCGTCATCATCAGCATCAGCATCAGCATCAGACACATCACCACCACCGCCATCTCCTCCTCCTCATGATCACGAACATTACCACAACCACCACGCCGTCATCATCAGCATCAGCATCAGCATCATATACATTACCACCACCGCCATCATCAGCAGCATCCCCATCACCATCACCATCACCATCATCACCATCATCATCATCATCATCATCATCATCATCATCATCATCACCATCATCATCAGCAGCATCATCATATTCATCCCCATCATCGTCCTCATCCTCCTCCTCATCACCATTATCAGCATCGCCATCAGTATCGTCATTATCAGCATCACCAACATCAATAACAACAGCAACATCACAGTCAACATCGACTTCCTCATCATCATCATCATCATCATCATCATCAACATCATCATCATCATCTTCATCATAACCATCATCAGCATCATCATCACCATCATCGGCAGCATCCGCATCAGCATCATCAGCAGCAGCACAATAATCGTCGTCCTCAACATCATCAACATCATCAACATCAGCATCATTATTATCATCATCGTCGTCATCCGCATCAGCATCCGCACCACCAGTATCAGCATCATCATCAGCAGCAGCAGCACCAGCATCTTCAACATAATCAGCATCAGCATCATCATCAGCATCATCACCAGCAGCAACATCATCAGCAACAGAAGCATCATCATCACCACCACCACCACCATCACCATCACCATCACCATCACCATCATCATCATCATCATCATCATCATCATCATCATCATCATCATCATCATCATCATCATCATTATCATCATCATCATCATCGTCCCCCATAATCCTCATCATCCTCCAAATGCCGATCACGCTCTCCCAAACCTGGAGACACGTGGTGTCAGACGTCACTTCCTCCCGTGGTCCCTTGAAGAGTCGCCACGCAGAATGCTGGGCTCACACGAT